AAAATCGATTGAAATATTAATAAAATACTAGACTAAAAATAGATACTTTTAGCCTATTAGGATTTTTTTTAACTTACATCTATTGGCTGTAGAAACTTGTTCTCGACCTTGGCGCTTATTTTGGCGTTTTCTTACATATTCTCCTCTATATCCTCGGCCTCTTTGGATTGCTGACTCATCTGAAAATATTATCCTATCTAATCTAATATTAGATAGATTTTTCAGCATATCCTTAGCGTATTTCAATCTATTTTTAGCTTTTTCTTTGTTTAAAATTAATTTTTTCTTTGCAATATTAATAGAATAGCCCTCTCTTTTTAAAAATCGCTGTAAAGTTCTAGTTGAAATATGAACGTCATTTTCAACTAATAATCGGCGATTTGTCTTTTTAGGGCTCCTAGTTAAGTCTCTATTAATAGATCTTTTATCTCTTTCTGAAAGCTTTGAAACTCCGCCTCTACTAACTCTTTCAAGCTTTCTTTTCTAATTTTTTTTCTTTTTAAATCGATAAATAGCGTCTCTAATAGCCTTAGGTGGCTTACTAAGTAAAATAGATATATTTTTAATGGCTATATTTGCCTTTAACAAACGGGCAACTTCAGCTTCAAATTTTGAAAATTTTGGATCCATAGTGAGGAATTAAGAAATCAGAAATTCAGGATAGAAAGAATCAAATATATAGTATATTATGACTAATCAGGCTTAGTAATACACTAAACTTAATTTAGTAACTTTGTCTTTAGAACTTAATATTTAATTCTAGAGGATTGCTAAAAATAGAAAAAAAAATGTCACGTGATCTTCTATATATAGACCATCACATATCTCAAGACTAAGCCTTTTTAAGTAAGGACTATTGTTTTACAATAAATGAAATTTTTATTGTTTTAGTCTCCTATATTCTATAATTTTTCTCCGCTCAGAGCTGCTGACTAAGCAGGAGGTGGGTTCCCTATGTCAAACTAGGAGATCTTGGCTTTCTAGATCTGCAATCCGTTTATTTTTAGCTATTTTTTCTAGCTAGATATAAAAGTTTTAAAATAACAACTTTTTAAGTGACGTTTTTTTCGTGTCACCCCTCTGTATATATGTATGTATGTATGTATGAATGTGTATCGCACCCACGCACGTGCGCTGCCCCACCCGGCGTATTTTCTGTCAGAGTTTGTGTTTTATAATTGACTTTGTGATTTATGTAATTCGTGTGCACATGTATATTTCATACGTGAGTCGTACAGAGTTGAAAAGGAGGATTTGTCATTGGGTTTTCTGATAAACAGGGCAAAAGTAGTGGGGGGAAAAAAAAAGAGAGAAAGAGAGAGAGAGAGAGAGAGAGAGATGATAGGCAAAAGTAAACGAGTGAATAAAACGAGTGAGTAAGTGAAAAGAAGGGGAAAAAAAGATTTAACTCGTTAGTCAAAACTAGAGTTTTTGATTCTTTTCTTTTGTTACTTTCTCGTCTGTTCTGGATTTTTTTGTTCATTTAATTGTATTTCTACTTGAGCTTATTGAAGATTTGAGATTCTCGTGTAGGTGGAGAAGATATAGTGTTGCTACTTGTGATGATGATGATGATGATGATGATTGTGATTGTAATTGTAATTGTAGGGGAAAAGAGAGACGGAGAAGAGCAAGAGAGATGGAGAGATGTGAGATGGGAAGAGGAGAAAATAGAAGGGAAGGAAAGAGGAAGAAAAAAAAGGATATGAAAAGGACAGGAGAGAAAGAAAAGGCGAGATAGGGAGGTGCGTTGTGTGAGAATTCCTAGAGCTAGTAAATGATGCAAAATGGAGAGGACAATGTTACTGGGATACAATGGTAGGATAGAGAGGGGTGAGGAAAGGAAAGGAAAGGAAGATAAAAGAAAGAAGAAAACAAGGAAACGAAATGATAAACATACACGCCCCCCCTTCTCTTGAAAAAAAAAGAGGCAAAGAAAAAGAGAAAGGGAGAGAGAGAGGGGGAGCAAACGATCAAACTTCATGTGAGGATCATTAAAAACATGTAATGAGTGTAGTGAATGAATGGATGGATAAAAACTGCTCCTTTTCATTTGGAACGACAAAGCCCCAGAGCGAGAGGGAGAGAGAGAGAGAGAGAGAGAGAGAGATGGAAACTCCCCAAAAGACCGTCCCTCCATTTTAGAAGCTGAGATTAAAAAAAAATATACACACAATACGATAAAGATACGACATCAAGAAAAAGAGCTACTACGGAGAATGATGGACCCGCAACGCAGCTTCGGAGCTGAACTTGCGGAATTCCTCAGCCGCCCACTCGTTGTCGCGACTATTTGTGCTCGACGAGGGGCTATAGTCGTGACTGTAGTTCGAACTTGTTTGTGTTTTTGCGCGTTCTAGGCCTCGTTCTGGGGTGAACAAGGTAGCTTTTTGTGGTTGTTGTTGTTGTTGTTGTTGCTGTTGTCGTGGTCGTTGTCGTTCATTTGATGTAGAAGCGTGAATAACATTCGTGGCATTAGCATTAAGATTGTTGCTGTTTCGATCTTTCAAAAGCATTGGACTTCGCTGCAAATGGGTGGTTGCAGCGGCGGCGGGTTCGCGAAGGAGTGAGGCGTCGATGATGCGGCTTTGGTCACTGCTCATATGGTTGAGGAGCGATATGATTTCTAGGCTAGGGCTTTGGGAGAGCGCCGGCCGCCCGTGCGTCGATTGTGAGCGTGAGGATCGCAGTGTTTGGGCCGCCGGGGGCTGTTTGCTGCTGCTGCTGGCGCTGGTGCTGGTGGTCATGGGAACCGAGTACCGTGGCGAGTCAATCGGATTGCTGTTGGCGCGGCTGCGGGTTGCAGATTCTCCGGGCGGGTAGACGGAGTATATGCTTGACTTTTTCGGAGACGCTTGCCCGCTGCTGCTGCGTATGGGTCCCGAGGGCCTGTATATCTTGATGGCCGACTTGCCGTTGCCGTATACTGGGGGTGGTGTGATGGGAGACGTGAACTTTGTTCTTTGGCTGTTCATCTCTAGCTTGGCCAATGCATCGGTAACTGCATCGCCGATGTCGACGTGGTTGAGCTCGTGGCCCTCGAGCTCAAAAGTTTGTTTACGCACAACAGGTCGGTGCGGTAGCCCATTTTTTGAAAGATGACTCGTGCGCAGCGGTCCTGCATCGGTTAATGGCCACTCAGCCGGGAGCTCTGGGACCGGTGGTGTATCGCTGGCTGCGTGTGAATTTCTGTCATTTAGTGAATTCGCAGATGGGTTTGGGAGCTGTGGCGGCTTGGAAAAACTCGTGTGAGGCGTGGACCTAGACGATGAGCCTCCATACAGGGTCGACTGAGATGACTTGGCCAACGACATTGACGTGTGACGGGTTTTGGATGAATCTGTCGAAAGACGTTTGACCTTCCAGTTGCCAGTCTTCTCGTCAACCTCTAGAGTCGAGTGCGGGTATCGCAGCGAATCGGCTAGTGTCTGAGTATCGTCGAACACCGAAGACTGATAACGGTGCAGAGTTTCGTTCGAGTCATTGCTGTGAGTCATGGGCGCACGCGAAACATTGGCCCCAGGTATGTTCTTCTCGTCGTCGGGTTGGAGGTCAAGGCGACTTCTGGAATAATCTCCCACCTTGCTCGCGCCGTTTGGCACGTAGAAGCGTAGGTCGACACGGGAAATGGCAAACAGCATAACGACAAAGATTTCCGTCAAAAAGTTGAAACAGTAGAAGCTTGCCTTGGACAGGTACCAGGGAAACTCGACCACTCCGCGCTGGACGTCTATCATGGGAGTTTCCGGGATCCAGGCCAAAACGCAACGGAACACCTGCCCCAGCGACAGGACGAACACTGCGATGATGAGGATAGTGATGTTGTACCTCAGCCGGCCAGCACCAAACTTTTCAACCTCGGTGCGAGGGACGAGAAGCGAAAGGGTGACGAGGATGGCGGGCGCAAAACAGAATACCGTGGAATACGTCTGGGAGACGAGGAACAGTACGTCAAAGGCCTGGAGCTGGTTTTTGTCGAGAGTGAAGAACTTCCAGATCTGGCTGATGATGAGGCCGAGCAAAGTGACGATTAAAAGGACAAGTCCGGTCCGGTGAAAGATGCGGTACATGGTCGACCACCCTATGCTTGGATGCTGGGCACGGATGACGCGTTGGGCGAAGAACCAGTTAACCATGTACAGGATGATGGTGCCGGCATAGGTGAAGATGTTTGCCGCAATGGCAAGGCTCACGTCCCTGGGGTAGTTTGCCCATGCCATGCGTAATATCATGGTGATGATGCGAACCTTGCAGAGGCCTGTGGGTGTTAATCATGAAGTGACATGACAAAAAAAGACAAGGGCATACCTAGGATTGCGCCATTGAATACAAACTTGTGGCCGCGATGCTTGTTGCTTTTGAAGATCTTGATGTGGATGATGCCAAAGACGAGGTACAAAACCATAAAGACGACGGCGACTGGCACATCAGGCAGGATGGTCGGCGACCCACCCAGCCCGGCATTGAGAGGGGCATACGGAGGGCCTTTTTGGGTTGATACTCCAGGCTACTGTATGTCAGTTGGACGCGTGAGAGACAGATGGTGGAAAAGACATACCGGAGGACCCTGGGCGCCCTGTTGCGAAGACATGCTCGGAGGAGGTTCGTGGGAGCAGGACGCCGGCTGCAGAGGTCAGAGGAAAGCCGAAAAGGGCTTCTTCTTCTTTCTTGAAGACGGGTCGGGCAAGATGGCGTATATCAGGTTCACTGGCCCGCGGCACCGATCACAGTCGGCATGGCTTGGGCCAAGGGGCCGACAGCCATACATAAGCAAGGTGCATGATGGGCGTGTAGTAACGTCGCTGTAATTAGTGTGAATTGGAGGGGCAGTGGTTCCATGCATCTATATGCGGCCTCTGGCTAGCCCAGCTCAGCCGTGGTACGCAATACGAAGCTCCCGTAGCACTGGGTGCGGCATGGCAAATGCTTCCCGCGGGCGTGGCAGGCAGTGCCATGCAGGCGGCGATCCAGAAGCTAAGCCTTGCTATTCCCGTGGCCGTTTCATGGGGGACGATATTGCTTTTGGGGATTAGCAGAGGGTGTTCATCATGCTCGCTCGAGGGCCGCAATGGGCCAGGCGAGTCGTGGTCGCAGGCACCCACAGCAGCGCGGGGGCGCAGCGTCTATTCTGGGCCGAGGGGCAAGACATGTCGCTGTCTTGACGTGATGGAGCTGCTGACGAGGGTGCCGGGTCTCCTCAGTGAAGCCGGAGGCGATCTGCTTCTGCCGCTTACTCGACGTTGAGTGGAGGAGGAGAAGGGCGATCGGCCAAAACGTTGAACGAGCGCCGACCAATGACGCGCGCATCGTCGGCCTCTGCGCGCTGAGGGCCCGACGTTGCTTGTGCCTGTGCGTGTCCGCCCTCATGCAAATGCGTGATAGATATACATGTATACGCCCTCGCGTCTGTGCCGCCGCGCGCGTCGCTGGACTGGCCAGAATGAGCAAGCAATTTCTTCTCGCAGGCCCGCGGCGGCGAGCCCTTATCATCTCGCTGCATCCGTCCCTACGCCTATGCCTAGCTGATACCCCAGATTTCGGCACGGCAAAACTCGTCGGAATGACGCTCCCTCTCCCAACCTCGACCTCGACCTGAACCCAGACACGCCGTGGCTTGCCTTGACACCAATTGCTTCGCCCCCCCATTGCCGTCACGGGGGCCTCGCTCGCCACTATCCACGACCACCATGCCGCCCAAGGCGAAGCAGCGCGCCGCCGCCTCCGCCACCACCACCACCACCACCACCAAGAAGAAGGCCCTCCCGCCGCCCTTCACGCCCGCGCCCCCCGAGCTCGACAATCTCCTCTTTACCTTCGACCGCTCGCTCGTCTACGTCACGCACGTGGACACGCACCCCGCCTGGTTCAAACGCCGCATCTTCTACGTGCCCCTGCTGCTCAACTCGGCCTTTGTGCTCGTCCTGCTATGGCGCCTCTACGCCTTCGGCCCCCACTACTGGGCCATTGTCATGTCCATTCTCGGGAACCATAACGACACGACCATCTACTGGGCCGACTCCTCGTGGGGCTCGCTGCTGTGGCGCGTCGGAAAGCGCATGCTCATGTTCATGTTCGACTTTGTCCTGTTCCGCATCGTCGGTCCCTGGCCCTGGAGCTTCTTCATCGAGCAGCCCGGCAACCCCGTCAGCTGGCGGTGGAACGTGGGCTTCAGAGATTCCGAAGTCTATGTCCGCGTGAGCAGGGGCTGGGGCGCCAAAGACCTGCTGGGCGAGGCTGAAGGAAGCAGCGGCCGCGCCGGCAGCGACAATCCCTTTTTCAAGACGCGCATCCTGCCTGCCGTGGACAAGAACCGGCTGCGCGAAAAGACGGGCTACATGCTCATGGACGCCGACTTTGACCTCGACTTCTTCGGCATGGTGGCCGCGACGCAGCTGCTCGACCGCAAAGACATGACGCTCGACCATGTCCGCAAGAGCGTCTTTGTCTACGTGGGCGACGCCGACAGCGGCACCGGCCAATGGGCCGCTTGGGACTGTTCCAAGCTCGACGAAGGCTCCGAGACGGAAGCCAGAGAAAAAGTCATTGCCTTCAAGGACAAGCTGACAGCCATGGGCAAGGAGAATTTGTTCTTCAAATGGGTCGAGCTCATCCAATACGAAAGCAATGCTCCCGGTGGCTTCACCCCAGAGCGCCAGGCTGCCGCCGCCCAAAAAGTAAAACAGATGTTTGAAGATCAGGGTGTCGATTTTGAGCAGTTTAGCAAGGAAATAGGAGGCTTGGACGACATGGCCCGCGTTTAATTTGCGTGCATACATGTGCTTGCAGAAAGAATGCGCAGTAGGTAGGTACAACAACAGCGAAAAGGCATAAGCCTGAAAACCACTCATAGATTGCGAACAAAATCCAAATGATACCCTGTGTTTTGAACAATGATATTAATAGAATAAACACTATTATCCCTAATATGCTTTTTTTTCGCGAGAAATGGGGGGGGGGGGTAATGTGCAGCAAGCCCCTCCCTTTCCTTTCCCTTTCCCTTTCCCCCTTCCCTTTCCGCATGAACTCGGTATCCGTGAACACTCTCCCCTTGTATTTAACCATGACCATGACCAGAGCAAACTACGTAA